GCGGGGAGCGTCCCCGTGTACAGGGCGTCGCTGAGCATCTCGCGGAGTCGCCCCTCGCACACTGGGTGTTGCTTGAGGATGTGGAGCGCCTCGTGTGCTATCATGTCTAGGCCGGTGCACTTGTTGTTCTTCCAGCGGGCCGAAACCCCCGACAGCTCGTCTTGGGTGACGGGGACCCAGGGCTTGTGTTTGCATTGGCGGGCTAGCCTCCCCCGTCTCTGCTCAAACTCCACATCCCGCCGAGCCCCCGGGCAATGGCCTTGACGTTGATCCATCCTGCTTCCTGGGGCTGCGCCGGCTTGGTGGTGGTGGCTGAGCACACTCTGGTCCCCTTGAACCACACCGTCCCCGTCGGCCATTCCGTCTCGATCTGGTTGAGGGCGGCCCCGAAGCTCAAGCATAGTCTTTTGCATTTCCCCGCAAGTTGTACTCGTCGGCGCCGTTCCGGGGACTGCGAGAGTTGCATCCAAAGGTAGCGGGTCTTCCCTTCCGAGTTGGTCCCCATTGCGATGTTGGCTTGTCTGACCCGACGGAGTGCCCCCGACAGTCTTTCTCGCAGGTCCTGGGCCGACTCGTTTTCCCTGCAGCCGTACGGCAGGATGGCGTAGCCTCTGCGGACCCACGGGACAAAGGCCTGGTCGAGGTCGACATCGACTCGGAGGTCCTTGATCATATGTGTATTCGTCGAAGTCTCTCCTCTGCAGGGCCGGCTTCCTGCCCCCGGACTCAGTGTCCACTGTGCTCCCCGTCCCCGACTGCTGCAGGGTCTGGACTTTGGCCTCAAGCGTCTGCAGGCGGGCATTCATACGTTGCTGGTTCCCCTGGATTGCTTCAACGGTTTGCTGCTGGTCTCGCTGCTGGGCCGTGATGGTCTGCAACCTTTCCAGGGTTCGTTCCAGCTGGGCCGTCACCCCCGTCTCCACTCTGTCCATGCGCGCCCCAATCTCGGTGCGCAGGGTGGCCGTGCTGACTCCGATCTCCCCCCTGACCACCTCTCTGATGGCATCCAAGCTGATGCGCTCCTCCTCCGCCGCCCCTCTCTTCTTGGGGCTGGCTGCGGGCTCCTGATTGCGGTCGGTCTCCATGCTTCCTCCTCCCCCAGTTCCAGGTGAAGAGTTCATTCTTGATGCCGTCGGAATAGTAGCACGTTGCACAACCGCCGTATACTTTATCTCCCGATGTGGTAATCGAGGGTCGCACCCCGGAGCCCCTCACTGCAAAGGGTCGCTATCACGTACCTGTAGCTGTTGTCAGTGTCCCCCGCGCGCCTCGACGAGGGATTTTGATGTGGAGCAGTCCCGACTATGTC